ATAAATTAATAAAATAAATAAATTTATTACTCACTCTTTTGTAACACAATTTGTACAAATTTACACACGTAAGTTTTTTTTATCCTATAACTATAAATTCTATTATAGGTGTACTTCTACTCTTTAGATTAAAACTTAAAAGTTAAACGTTAATTTTGGTTCATTAATTTTAAAGTTTGCATAATTTTTATATCTTATTTTTTATGTATTTTTTGGTCCTTCATTATAAAAAACATATTTTTTTAGTTCTTTCATTAGTTATTTTATTAAAGTTATCTAAATATATATTTTTAATCCATCAACTCTAAATTGAGGAATAAAAAATATTTATATATTAAAAGTTAATAAATTAAAAATATAAATATTTAAATAAATTTAACAAATTAACGAATAAAAAAATTAAAAAATATTTTTTCATAATTAAAGAAAAAATATATATAATTAAAAAGTAAAAATTATATAAAACTTTAAAAAATAGCGGACTAGAATTGAAATTTAACCAAGATTACATTTCAAATCCTCCAACTCAAAGTTGTAACGTTAAAAAAAAATTTATACAAATTTACATACGGTAAAATAAAGACGGCTGCGTCCTGCAGCATGCATTAATTAATTAAACAGGGGCCTGTTACTAGGAACAAACTTGCCTTCGTATAAAGCTGCGTCGCCTTTCATTTCCTCCAATTTTTTATGTGTTTTTATGGGTTTCTGACGAAACAGCATTGAGAACCGAGTTCCTCCCCTCATTGAGTCATTGAAGAAGAAGAAAATGTTTTACCTGATAGATCATCCGGAGCCTCACCGTACCTTTTACTTTTAGTTTATCCGAGCAGGGCCTCCGGAAAAAGAACACGTGGCACTGTGCCAGTGGAGGTGATATGCAGAAAGTGACAGCTGACCTGCTAGTTACTGCACCACTAGGGGCCTATGGGGCCGGCCTATAACGTTAGCCTCCACTCCACAGTCTCTCTCTCTCTCTCAATAAAGGTGCCAGCAGCCGGCGCCTTATTCGCCGGTAGTCGCCGTCAGCTGTACTTCCGCCGTGACACCTCTGCTCTGCGGGCCCTGTACCTCCAGAGCTACTGTATTTAACCTTAAAGTACGTATGGATTACGGAGATGGAGGGGAAGGAGAGAGGAGGCAAAAGAGTGAGAAATTTTTATTTGATTATAAAAAAAATTAGAAGAGAAAAAGAAGAATTATTTTGTTTTTATTTTTAATTTAATTATTTATTTAAATAATGAAAAAAAAAGAAAGAGGAAAATGAAGGAATATATTTATTTTTCTCTTTTAATTTAATTATTTATTTAAATAATGAAAAAAAAGAGGAAAATGAAGGAATATATTTATTTTTCTCTTTATTTTTTAATTTAAAAATTAATTTTTTTATCCTATCTTTTAAATATTTAGTAATCACATTTAATTTTAATTAATTTAAAATTAAACTATATCAGATCTTATTAGAGGAAGTTCTCTCAGCACTTGTTTTTTTCATTTATAAAATTT